TTTGCCCTTGAAGCTCTGCTGGTGGCCCTTGTGGCTGCGCTGGTGCCTCTCGAAGCTCTGCTTCTTGCCGTCGTAGCTCTGCTGGTGGCCCTCGCAGTTCGGCAGGTGGCTCCCGAAGCTCAGCGGGTGGCCCTCGCGGCTCGGCTGGTGGCTCGAGGTTGTCTCCCACCTGATCGCCTGGCGCCGTGTCCGAGGGTGTGGGGATCAGCCCGAGCCTGTCTCGCCCACCCTCGCTTGGGATGTAGACGCCCCGGAGGCGGTCGTGGCTGTCGTGTCAGAGGCTCAGGTGGCCGTCGCAGTCTTCGCGGCCGTGGTGGCCGCAGTCCAGGTGGTCGCAGCCTGGGGGGCCGTCGTAGCCGTCGCAGCTTTGGAGGCCGCCGTCCTCGTGTCCCGCGCATCCCGGCGCTGGCCACCACACCGCCTGATGGCGGTGTAGTCCGGGAGGCCGCCTGCGCCGTGGTGGGGTTCTTCCTATGATCACGTACCTGCTCCACGACTGGGTTGGACCTGACGTGCTGCGTAGATATCCGCCCAGCTGGCATCTGTTCTCGTCTCTGCCGCCTTCTACGCAGCTCTTCGATGCCCTTATCCTCCTCCTTGGCCCGTCCTGCAGTGGACGCCATCATGAGGGAGGTCGTAGCGATGGTCATGATGTCGTTGAGGTATGGTGTAGCCCGCGTCGGACGAGCGGAAGAGGTATCCCGTCCTCTTGCAAGCTGCATATGTTCGTGCTCATGTCGCCCTGGTCGCACTTGGTCTCGGCATTGTTGTCGGTATGTCTCCACATAGAGTGTGTGAGTCTCCTAAGCCCGTTGAGTTGATGATGCTCTCGTTGATGTGCACCGCGATGAGAAGTGCTTGTGAACCCTGCGGATCGTCATCAGGTGGAAGGGCTTGTAGGCGCGGTTGATCCCACACACTAAGAGGGATATGTATACGTGGTTGTTCAGGGTGAGGCGCGCGCCACCCGCCGCCGATGGCGCGGCGGAGCGCTGAGGCCGCCCCCCCGGCCGAAGGAGGCCTTGAGCCGAAATGGCTACGTTATCCTCCTCCTCCTCCTCCTCCTCCTCCTTCATCTCCTTCTTCCTTGTTCTTCTCCTCCTCCTCCTCCTCCTCCTCCTCCTCCTCCTCCTCCTCCTCCTCCTCCCTTTTAGGTGACGTTCGCTCGCTCCTCCTCCTCCTTCCTCCTCGTACTCTTCTCCTCTGTCTCCTTTTCTCCCCCTCTCCTCCTCTCCTCCTCCTTCCTATTCCTCCTCCTCCGCCTCCTCCTCCTCCTCCTCCGCCTCTCCGTCACCTCCATCTTCCCCCCCCCTTCCGCCATCCTGAGGATCGCATCCCGCATCTCGTCCTCCTTCTCCACCTCGGGCCTCGAGCCTCGCGGTTCGTGGATCGAGGATGTGGGGCGATCCCGGCCCTTTTTCGGGCCTCGCCTCCGTAGGGGCGGGGGAACTTCGCCCCCACGGAGGGGCAGGTACTCCCCGGAGAGCCTCGACGAGGGGCTTCCTGTCATGAGCTCTTTCTTGGCGTCCACTGCTGCGCACACCCTCCAGGCAGCCACACGTGAGCCCGACTCCGTGCGGCGCGCTCCATCATCGAGGATAAAAGAACCCCGAACCTGAATGGCATAGTGAAGACGTGGCCTCACTTAGGTCCCCGTCTTTGCCTCAGGGATAGGAAGTCTGGGCGGTATAGTTTGATGCATCTGCAGAATAGCCCCCCTGTCTCTAATGGTTCTGGCCCTCCTACGTCAGGTCCCCTCCCAAAGGCTTCAGAGGGGGTAGGGGATGGGGCGGTGGTTCAAAGATGGGGTGCTGAGGGAAGTGGTCCTAAGCATAGTAAGGGGTTCAAGGGCGGATTTGAATGTCCTGCGGATCCCATCCCTGAGGACCCCATCCCTGAGAGCCCGTCTTTGCCAGGGCTTCCAGAGTGAGCCGTGTGTCGGCGACGAGCGAGTGGGGGAAGTGAGAGGGAGAAGGCCTTCTCAGAAGGCGGCGGGGCTTCTCAGAAGCGCTCCAGCCTTCCGATGGAAGTAGCATGGCGGCGGGTCCGCCAGCGACAGGCGGCGGAGGTAAGAGGGAGACGTCGGCAACTCGTATATCCAGGGTCTCCAGAGGGAGCCGTGTGGGAAAAGCCGCCTGGGGGTCCGCTCCCCACCCCTCGATGGTTCAACGGTGGGGTCCTGAGAGATGGGGTCCGAAGGACAAGGTGCCTCGAGCAATGTGAATCCACCCCTGGATCTCCTCCTGCCCCTTTGGGACCCCGTCCCTCAGGACCCCATCTTTGAGCCACTGCCCCCTCCCCTACCCGCCCCTTGCGCGTGGCCGACTTCCCTCCGCTACCTCTCGCCGACGGATTCGCCGCCATGCTGCCTCCGCCATGTGAATCCGCCCCTGGATCTCTTCCTGCCCCTTGGACCTCATCTTCGAGCCATCGGAGGAGGAGGAAGAGGAGGAGGAGGAGGAGGAGGAGGAGGAGGAGGAGGAGGAGGAGGGCGAGGAGG